ATAAAAGAGTTTGAAAAAATAAGTACTCTCACTTATTGCATACAAAACGGCAATTTCATAGGTAAAGACCTAATATTACAAGCTATGTTCAATAAATGAGCGATTATAAAAAAAAAACTGGTGTTCCAAATTTAAAGTGCAAATACTAACATTAAAGATATGTAATACTTTTTTTAATTTAAGAAAAAAGTCAGTTGTCAGACTAATCATTATGGTAAACAGATTCTCTATGTTCAGATTATTTATGCTTTTTAAATATCTGTCACGGGTTTATATCGCACGGTACTAAAATTAGAACAGACTATGTAATTTTTCTACATCATATACTTAGATCTTTTCATGATGGTCGGCAATAAAAAGAGACACGCCTAAACCTTGACACAAAGCGTTGCACGCACACCAGTCTCGCTTAGAACAACCTAATTTATTATAATTACTATAATATGTAAAAATGATTTAATTGCGGATTGAAAATATTTCATTGTCATGTTCGTTAGTTCCTAGTACATTAAAAATGGGCAATGTTCTCCATAGGCTATAAAATTCCATTAAATCTCTTTCCTTTTATATCTTTAAAGATATAGGAAGAACTAAGATTTGTATTCGTCAATCACTCGAAATCACCTCCAGTAACAGCATCCTTTTATGTGAATTTGCAGACATTGCAATTGATTTTTGTCATAAGGATGCTTTTTTTTTATTTTATCAATCAAAACTATTATGTAGATTATGGGTTTTGTGTACAGTAAGGAATAGATTCTCTTACTCAGCTATCGGCAACACAGCAGCGTATCTGCCCGAGGCCGATTCCCTAGGAGTGACACCCGCGGTTCACAATTGTCCTCTACCCATTATTATTTATACTCGTATTGATACTTTTCATTTTGGAGAAATTAACTTATCATACACAGAACTTAGCAATATACTCTTTAATAACAGTCAGACTGCTGAAGTTCTGGGGAAAACAATACATATTATCTTAAAGAAACGCCAATATGAGCCCTTTTTAACCGACTTAAGAACTAGCAGGTTCTCAATTCGGTTTAATCTCAGAACTCCGTCATTTGCTAACGATTTTGACTGCACGGATGGCGTAGTGGTTTAAGCTGTCACCTCGCCGCTTACTACTACGCTGAGTGTTGTGGGTCCGAACCCCACATGGGACGACACTTTGTGTGATTCACAAATTGTTGTTCTGAGTCTGGGTGTTCTTTGTGTCCGTTTCGTGTATGTTTGTAAAGTCCCCCGCGACACAGGATATATTCCTAATGCGGGCGTTGTCTTTTTTAAGAAAAAAAAAAAAATTTTATTTGAGAGGTTATACTTTCCGTTTTGTCTCTTTTAAATTTGAAGAAAAATTGCCAAGGTGAAAAATTAAGAATACAGTTTATGAAATGTATGTAAGATGCTGTAGGCGCGTTAAAGTCAGTGATATTTTAAGGGTAAGGTATTTAAATACGTCTCTTTTTTTAATACCTGTCGGCGCTTGCAGTGATATCAACAGTAGATCTTTAAGTCAGTAACTAAAACAGCGACCACCGGTAATGAATTGATTTCAACTATCAACCTCTCTTTATTTCATTTTTTTTTTAATTGTTTGAAATCGTCTTTTATGTAGACTCTAAAGTCACCACACACAAAAGCAACAATCTCTGTTTTGTCAAATAGTAAGCAAATAAATTTAATAAAAATTAAACTTATACATAAACTAGGATATGCCTGTGCCGATCTACAACCGCCCGTTCCCAAGGGGTTGAGCCTTATGAGAAGAAAGGGCAAACAAACTCATGGCCAACCAGACTAATCGACTGTCAGTCCTTATCGTCTGAATCTTGCGTCATTATTGTAAGCATTATGTTTAAAATTATCAAGCGATGATAACACCCGGCCCGTAATATGAGATTTGTTATATGCATGTTTATTTAATATTGTTTACACGATGATATATGCTAAAGTGAGAGTCTGATCTCTTGTCATTTCTGGTGTTATATTTTATCTTGACATTCTTTGTGCAAGGACAATGATACTTGAAGACAAGATCAACTGTATTACATCGAAATCCCACAAAACAACAGTTGTTGTATTTAAAAAAGAAAAGAACAATTATCTTGTTGAAATATTTCTTTAAATGTGTAATTTAGTAGAATTGTAAATTCTAACCTAAACTAATATAACTGTCGCGTCAAAGGTTTAGTCTTTATTATTATGTATTTAATTTAAACACAGCGCAAACGTCTGTTAAGAGTTTTCCAAAAATCTTTGCTTTTTTTAGCTTGCAGTTGCCACTTTTTTTATTTTTACTTCCTTATATTCCAACACAGGGCTTTCAAATACGTTAATAATGCGTTTAATAATGCACCACAAACTACGTTCTTTATTGATGCAGTTCTTAAAATTATAAAACTATTATCTGACTACCATATTAGTGATTACCATAACACGACACTTTATTGGACAGTATTTCCACAACTCGAAAAACATGGTTGTTAAATAGTAACACTACACTAGAAAGGAAAATTAAAAAAGATTCGGAGGCGGGAATTTCAGCTGAAGGGGCGGAGGATTTTGAGCGGTTCAAATTCCCGCCTAGAATCATGCACTTTTGATTGAGATTGAACATTGAAGTGAAGTGAAAATAGTGAAGTTATCTATCAAAAGTTAAGACTTGGCTTAAAGGTCTTGTTAACAGGCCATAAAAATACATAAATAAATGAAAATTAAAAAATTCAAATAAGCTTATAATATCTTTCTTTCTTTTCCTGGGGTTTTACTGACTTAGACGATAGTTTCAAAAACGTAGAAATTTACTAGAATTAGTTTCCTATGAATGACATTTTAAGACGCTCAAATTATACTCAACTACGCATTCGCCATTGTTCTTTATGATGGCGGTTAACGACAATAGGCGACCTATTAAAAGAAAGTGGTACTAAAGTTATAGACGGCAAAATGTGGCTTCCGCTTCGGGGATAAATGTATGTATGTATGTTATTTAAATGGACTTTATCTCGATATAATTATGGTATGATAATGCACCGATCGTGGTCGTAAGTGGTCAGATCATAATAAATGCAATTCCGTTTAAATGTCAGGAAACAAAATTTGTAGATGTCTTGTTTTATTTCATTGACCAGTATAACTTGAACTGTAATTCAATAGACAATTCTAAATGTTATATGATATGCTGCCATGCACCATATTTCTTTAAAAGGGGTAACCAAAGAACTTTACCAAGAACTTTCTTAGCGTATTTTTTCATTTATTACTAGTATTTGCCCTTCGCTCCGCCCATGTGTTTGTCTGTTATCGTAGTAAAAAGAAGCCTATGTCCTTTCTCAAAAATCAAACCTATATAATAAAACTAGCTGACCCCGCAAACGTTGTTTTGCCATATACATTATGTCGGTTTACCATAGCAGTGCCATCTATTGATTACTTACTCAATCCAGTCGAAAAGATAATTGTGACTGTCAATTAATTATAGACCAATAATTTGCAATAAAATAAAATTGCGACTATAATTAAAGATCTAAGCTATCCTATCTCTTAAGTTGGACCAGACTGCTCACGGTGTGCCAATTTAATTTAAAATCGGTTGAGTAGTTTAGGAGTCCATCGCGGACAAACATCGTGACAGGAGATTTATATATATTAAGATAAAAAATAAAATAAAATACCAAATTATCTGAATATATATCGGTTTAGCGGATATTGATTCCACATACAAACTTCCACCCCCCTTTTCACCCCCTTAAAGGATAATTTCTATAATAAAAACTATGCTATGTCCTTTACAGGGACAAACTATCTTTACACCAAATTTCATCTAAGTCGGTCCAGCGGTTTCAGCGTGAAGAGTAACAGACAGACAGACAAACTTTCGCATTTATAGTATGTATTTATTTATAATATGTATTTGTTAGTATGGATATTATTAGATCATATTATATGAATTAGATTAGATTTGTATGCTTTTTAGGACATTTACGCCCAAATGTACGCAAATAAGAAATGTTGAAAAAAAAACTTTTCATAAATTCAAAAAAATAACAAACTAAAATATTGCTTGCACACATTGTTCTCGTATCGTTCTATTAGTTGGATTTCCCCATCCGACCCGAAAAAACCTACGTCTTTGTAAATACCTACATACTTTTATTATATTTAAGCACTTTAAAATGTATTAACCTATTTGCGTTATATTGTTGGGGATTTTTACTGGTCTATTATCTCATTTTAATAATGTACATGGGCACTAACGCATCTCTAATGCAGCAGTACAACTCTTTAACGGTTCTATACTCGGTCTTTCTTAAACTAAACCGTCAATAGGCAATTTCAAGAAAGTGGTAAAAAACAGTGGTCAAAAAATTTACAACGTTATTACACTACATAGAATAGACGAGATAAACTGTGATAGTTTTTTTTTTCTGTGTTACTTAGAATTCCCTTGGTATCATGCCTGTTTTGGGTACTTAATTCGTTAATTCATAGCACATATCAGGAAATCAAATCTAGTTACATATAGTCCCATTTAGTTTCGAATGAATTTCTAACTGCTATTTTTTTTCTTGTTTCAGATTTAATCCTGTTTTCGACGAATTGGAAATGCTGCTTATTTATAGAATTACAAAACTTTAATTAATGTCAAGAAGGTACACAGCGTTTAGGGGACGAACGTGTGACAATATAGAAAGTGAATTTTTCAAAAGTGTGGAATCGAGGACCAGCCCGTCCTTGATGTACTCGACAAGTTACAACCCTTGGGCCCTTACACTTTGTATTACGAAGAGACTCTGTCGCTACTCCGCTAGAGACCCAAGATTAAGACACTGGTCAAGAGAACTAACAATTTCTTCGACGTAGAAGAATTGTATTCAATTGGATTTACAATCCAATTTTGGTAGTGTTCACGAAGTCCGTTAGAGGACTGAATTAGCTACAAAAAAGGACGTTCTTGAGCCATACGTACGTAGAAGGAAAGCTCGTTTCAGAGACTAATGGAATCGCAAACAGCTTATGCAAATGGCATTCCAGGTAAAGATCCTTCTATCAAGTATGAACGTAGAGTACCGTCTGAAGAGGAGAAGACTACGTCTCCTCTTCTTCAGAAAACAAATGATATCAAGTATATAGATGGAGTGAATGATGAAAAAAATGAATTACGAGATGTGAATAAACCTAAAGACGATTTGGACACTGTGAATTCTATGAAAACGGCTCCGAACAATACAAATCACAATCGTCTTTCTGTAGGCTATCATAAAGATAACAAAAGTGAAGAAGACGCAGTCTCGACTAATGAAGGAGTTAAATTTTTTGGCCTTGGAGACAATGACAGTATTTGTTCTAGTAAACCGGCGCAAGAACCACCACAGATACCTGACGGTGGATGGGGGTGGGTTGTCGTTGCCGCTTCTTTCCTCATTGCTACCGTAGCTGACGGCCTCGCTTTCTCTTACGGTTTGATGCATGACAAATTCGTCATCTATTTTGAAACTAGTGAAGCTAAAACCTCATTGATCGGCAGTTTATTTATCTCCGTACCTTTGATAGCTGGACCAATTATGAGTGCGTTAGTGGACCGTTACGGATGTAGAAGTATGACGATAGTTGGTGGTATAGCCTCGACTATTGGATTTGTGGCAGCTTCGTATAGTAATTCCGTTGAAGTTTTGTATGTCACCTACGGAATGATGGCAGGCTTAGGTACAGGTCTGCTATACGTAACTGCCGTTGTATCTATCGCTTACTGGTTCGAGAAACGTCGTAATTTGGCCGTTGGATTAGGATCATGCGGAGTTGGCTTTGGTACTTTCATATACTCTCCTCTGACTACATACTTACTTGAAGAATTCGGATGGAGAGGTACTTTATTATTATTAGCTGGTACTGTACTTAATGTTTGCGTATGTGGTGCTGTAATGAGAGATCCAGAGTGGTTGATCTTGGAGCAGAAGAAACAACGAAAGTTGAATAAGTCAAAAAGAGCGTCTAGTTCAATGTCAATATCTGCGAAATCCGGAGGTGGAGAATCGGTTTATCCAGGAGCTGAAGAACTGAAGACATTGTTAAAAAGCGGAGAAACACCTGAATATATACTTACAACTTTAGTAGCTTCTATTGCTCAAGCGGAGGACTTGGAGGCAGCGACTAAAATGAATGCTGACATGTCGCATCAGAAAGTTAGTTCTGTATTAAATCTGCCAACGTTTTTAAAACAAAGTGAAAAGGTACAGTATTGTTATTACATATTATTTTCTACGCCTCCTAATTTTATTCCATACAAGCACACACACAACTAACCAGTACTGTATTTTTTCCAGGTGCCTGCAGAAGTATTAGATCAACTTATAACAAACAAGCGTTTCTATAATATCATTTTACATAATTATCCGTCGCTATTAGCCTTGAGAAGTAGTTCAGAGCAGAAGCTGAACGTAGATCCGGCGCCGGAGGTTTCAAAATCGAAGCAGGTTATGATGTCAATGAAGTATAAGCTTAGTAAGAAGGAAAGAGAACGAAAGAAAGAATTTGAGAATAAACTTGATATAGTGAGGGAGAAGTTGCTGCAACCCATACCGGAGAATAAGCCTGCAGTGATCCAGCCTCGTCAAGACTGGTGGTCTAGACAGTTCCAAACAGACCGTCACTATCTACGAGACATTCGAGTGCATCGTAACTCTATTATGCATCGTGGAGCTATGATGAATATTGCTAAGTACAAGCTCCGAGCTTCTTCGTGTCCAGACATCTACAGAAATTCTATGTGGTCCGTTGAGGAAGAAAAGGTATGTTAACATTTGTTTTATCAATACGCATACAAAATTTTCTATGTCTAATTTTACAATAAACAGAGCATTTGTTAACATAATTAAATTTTTATAATCTTTTCAGAAAATAGTCGCTCTTTAATTTAAATAAATGACATAGAAGTGTTATTTTTCCTAACTTTGTCGGTGATTCTACAAAAAAAGTTGTATTAAACGAACTGCCTTTTGATATAAACTTTGATGCCAGTCCAAGTTCTTGTTAATAGACTTTAGTATTATTTTCATGTATTTTATGCCCTATGTCTCAATTATTTAAATGCTTAATTATTCAACTCAGATTTAATCCCAGAACCTCTGATCAAAACTAATTGAGCGGTACAAATTCAGATTACTTACAATAGTTTGATGAATCTTTCATAACAAGATATGCATTTCAGACTTACCAGGTTTTCAGAACGACTAATAAATCTATTTATTTTTTATTACAGACCTGGGGCCAGCGTCTTCTTGATACAATAAACAAAACTTTTGATTTCAACATGTTCACCGAGTTCCACTTCTTAATGATGAACTTGTCAACTTTGGTGCTGTTTATTTGGTTCATTGTCCCCTATTTCTACATATCTAATTTCATGACGATGAATGGTTACTCTGAAATCCATGGAACTTGGATGTTGAGCGTATTCGGCATAGCCACCATTGTTGGCATTGTAAGTATTCTCTTTATATTTTCAATCAACGAACGCAGTCAAATGCAACGAAAGAATTGATAACATCGGATTTCTGTAAAACCTGGTATCGATACCAGGTTTCACAGAGAGGTACCTGGTATCGATTCCGGTTCAGAGAGCCCATATCTGCTGAAGAATGGCTTTCCCATATTTAGGCATATGTTTCAAATAATTTACTGTTTCTTCTTTCACTTGGTCGATGTCAGTGTGTGTCAGCATCGCTTCAACGCTATTATATTGGCTAGTCATAAATGGATCGTTAAGAACTTATCTCCTCTTAGCATCGGTGCTCTATTAGCCGTGCACTTTGCGTAGCATGTACTTGAACAATATCTTGAGAACATCGAACAAGTAGAAATAGTCCCATTTATAAGACCCATAACTTTATTCTAAGGCACTGTTTTAACTGCTCAGTCTTGGAGACTTTAAATATTGTTTTGTTTCATGTCTGTTTGTCTTTTTAATTTCAGGTTGGACTCGGTTGGATGGGAGATCTTCCTTGGGTGAACGTGACAAAAACATATGCCTTATGTCTGATCCTTTGTGGTGTAACTATCATCTTGTTTCCTGTATTAATACGTGTAATGGACCCTGCAGCGCCTTACAGCTTCTACATCATTGCCCTCAACGCTGTGATGTTTGGACTCATGTTTTCTAGTTCATACTCATATACACCCAGCATTTTGGTCGAACTGATCGCTTTGGAGAGATTCACAATGGCGTATGGATTAGTTCTGTTGAGCCAGGGCTTGGGACACCTTATTGGGCCACCTATGGCTGGTAAGTAACTTTATAAGTAATATTTAGAACCTGCAAAAGCAATCTAATCCATAAATGGGTCAAAAGAATTTTTGATGATAATAATAATATAAATATTTTATTTATATTTATTCTTTGTTGTACACACTGAACACATACATTTTTTTTTTTTTTTTGTAACAAGGACATGTCATGTACAAAGGCGAGCTTAACCCAAAACTGAGTTTTAACTGTTGAAAAAGTAAAACCAACTTCAATCATGATGAATCTTTACGTAGTATAAAATGAAGTCGTTTGCTGCTCTTGTAAGCTTAGATCTTAAAAACTATGCAACGGATTTTAATGAAGTTTCCATCATTAGAAAGAGTGATTCGTGAGGAAGGTTATCTATATATACGAGTATATAAGAGATTTCCATGTATATAGTCACTCATCACGATATCTCTGGAACCATTAGAGCTAAAGACTTGAAATTTGGTAGGAATATTCTTTTCATCGAGTAGAGGTCAGCTAAGAACGGATTTTAAGAAATTAAAAAAAAAAACTTAAGTAATGTAAATAACAAAACAACGTTTGCAGGGTCAGCTAGTTATATATATATGTATAACTAGCTGTACCCCGCACGCTTCTTTGTTTCACATTGTCGTTGACACAAACTTAAATAAATAAAAACAATCTTGAAGCGGTTTGTATATCGTGTCAAAACTCAAGCAGTGCAGCAGTTTTTGAGTTTTTGAAGACACAACCCAACATTTTTATAGATGTCGGGGCTGTCGTATTTGGTAATAAGCTGTATCCTTTACTTAACCACCTGTAGGGTTGGTATGATTCTCCAAATCTGAACAGGTATAATTACTTTCCATAACAAAAAAGCCGTGTGGTGTCGTGGGACACCCGATAGGAACGAAGTTGTGACGATCGAGTAAAACTGATTCGACACGATTTTAATTACAACGCCTTCTATGAAAGCGGCTATTACCTACATATTTTTCAGTTGGTTTCTAATTAAAACAATTTATACATTGGTAAAATCTCTTTGAGAAATGATGTCGAATACAATATTTTTTGCTCATCCTAAGAACATAAATTTTAATTTTACTGAGATGAAAGTAATGATTTGCTATCTATTCGATAGATGGCGCTGAATGACTGACAAGTGACAATTCAAAATAAAAAGTATCGTTACAACTTTTCGTGAGATTTTTTTCCGTCTAGCCCCTTTCACAACGCGCGATAAGGAAGTTCATTCCAAAAATAAAAGTCCATATCGGTTCACAAATGACATACTTCTGAGGCAACAAACATAAAAAGAAAGTTTTAATGTGTGATTCAAACTATTCATATATTTATAGCTTCCTTTGTAGAACGTGTAGTCAAAAAAATTGATAATTGGAAACCGCTAACATACTCTACTCTTGCTGACATTTTCTTCTAAAGTCTATAAATTTTATATTCAAATATTAGTGTATTAATAGTCTATTATTGTTCCAGGTGCTCTGAAAGACTCCACAGGTGAGTGGGATGCGGCGTTCTATGTGGCTGGAGTATGGGTCATAATATCTGGACTTTTAGTCGGCGTTATACCGTTTACGGAAAATTTCCGCATTTGCGGTAACGCACCATTGGCAAAAGATGTTGCAGGTGAACCTGATCCCGGTGTGAAAATCATTATTGCCCACTAAAGAAAAATATCGAAGATCATCTCATTAGAAATCCTTTTTTTTATTATAAGTTAAGGCTTCCAATAAAGACATCAAATATTAGTCTTAAATTGGAAATATATTGTTCCCTTTAGAACAGCTCCAAATATCTTGTGTATTTTATTATTATGAAATAACTTACGTACACTATATTATAGTATAGAAATAAAAGTATGATAGTTTAAACGATACATAATCTGTATCTCTTTTTACTTGTGGGCTTTTTATAGCTTGGCATATTGTCTTTAGAATATAGAACGTAGTGACGTTTTAGAACATTTCTTGACGATATACCTACCGTTATCAAATTTAAATCCTAATCCCCCCGACCTGAGGAGTGTTTGTGTTTAAATATATTCGTAAAAGTCTCACTTATGCTTATTATATTCGTTTGCTTTAATAAATCTCCTAAGGAGATATTAGTATTCCTTTTAGTTTAATATTTGCACGTAATAAAGAACGTGGTGTGTTTTTATTGTTGATTTAAAATTGTGAGGTATAATGGTATGATTATGCTGGTCAAATAACTCGAGTTGAATGTGTGCGGAAGTAAAACAGTCAATTGAGATGTTTTTCGTAGTGTGATTAGGATGATTACAACTAAGTGTAGGTGTGTCTCAGAACACACTCTGTTGCAGAGTTATTGAGTAGCTAAAACTACCTTACAGGTTTTAGAATGATTTATTTTATCGCGTTTGGTATCATCGACATTCAGTTCTTGCCTTTTTGATGAAATATAGATTCAGGGAATTACGGAATTTATTATTTTTTACATGTTTTGATAGTATTTTAGATAAGTTTGTCTACTTACTTAGAATTTTAACATTTTACATATATATTATTACCTTATGTACGACTTATATTAAATTAAAATTGACTATTTCATGACTATGTGGTTTTTTTTTCACTTCTGTTACTTTGCATGACGACGCCTCCTACAAAGGAGTAGTGTCCAAAAACGATGGCAAGAAGAACATAAGAGAGAGCGGAGTAGGTATAACTCTCCTTACCCACTGTTAGCGTACAAGGCTTCGGAGAACATTTAATGACCGCCTGTCACCTCAGGAAGAGGAGTGCAGGCGAGCAGATGCAGGTCTGACATGCAGCTATTCCACGCCTATTTCTCAAGGAGGTGGAGTCACACAGAATGACATAACTTCACTTGCAAGTGCCGGGTTAATACTTGTCGATAGAAGATAGAAGTAAAGGCGCTTCTTGTTCTCCCGATCGTAGGCAATCAGTGAAACACCTGGGTGTTTTAGTTGAAATGGCTCTAACAATAACTTTCGCTCCCCCAAAGAGAACAGTTATCCTTAAGATCTCCCACTCCATCACCAAATAAAGGGGGGAACGACAGGGGAGGTTATATTGAATATACTCTAGCTTTTTACCAATATATTGGTTGGATCAACCAATGATGTAACAATAAAATAATAGTTTGTGACTTTATGTTCGGTATCGTCAAATTAATAACTTTGAAGTTTGGTTTGCGTTAACAAATAATACTTAGGAAATAAAAAGAAATGAATTATATTTTAGTTTTATTTAACACTTAATCACGAAGACAGCGATCAAGCGATGGATAATTTAGCGTTCGTTGTGACAGCTGATATTATTTATTATTAATAATAATATTTTCGACATCTAACACACAACGCCATCTAGTTTCATTATAAGTAGAGCTTGTACTATTAAAGCTAGATTGACTGATGGAATACCCTTATACTTATTTTTGTAAATTCATATATATGATACATAGAAAACAACCAAACTCCGAAACAAATAATAATTGCCCAAATCTAGTGCAGATCTGTTACCTATCAAGGAGTATAGAATATTCTACTATTCCAATGACTGCTCTATGGATAATATTGAATTTAATAGATGAAATATGTGTTGTTGGTTTGATCCACTTTGTTCAACCGATAGTTTAACGAATTGAAAAAAAAACAACTAATTCAGTGTGATTTGTTCAACTATGTTATCAATTGAATAATTTGCACTCCGTGTGTAAAGCATACAATATTATAAATGACAGAATTATCACAGACGCAAATGAAATTAGTAACGTTCGCCTCTTTTTTTAAAATATGCCATAAGTTGAGTTTAAAAAAGTATTATTATTTCTTGAATATTACTATCGCACGGATGGCGTAGTGGTTTAAGCGGTCGCCACGCCGCTTCCAACTGCGCCGAGTGTTGTGGGTTCAAACCCTATATGGGACGACACTTTGTGTGATCCACAAATTGATGTTCTGAGTCTGGGTGTTCCTTGTGTCCGTTTCATGTATGTTTGTTCCCTGCTACTGCTTTTTTATAACCGTGCTACCCCCAGTAACATTTTCGTTTCGACCGATATTGTCATTACATTACGTTAAAAGAAATAATTTAATTCAATTGATCAAAAGATACTTTATTTCTCTCAATATTCAACTATTATGTATATTGAGAAAATTAAACAATTGAACAAATTACACTTAATGCCGTGAATTTGTTGAACAAACAGTGGAAAACAGTGGATTAAATGTTAGTTGTTCTGTAAGTTTTGACTGCACGAATGGCGTAGTGGTTAAAGCGGTTACCGCCTCGTTTTCTACTGAGCTGAGTGTTATGGGTTCCTCACATGGGACAACACTTTGCGTGATTTACAAATTATTATTTTGAGTCTAGGTTTTCTTTGTGTCGTTTGATGGGTGTTTGTCAAGTCTCCTTTGAGTCTGTCTTTTTTAAACAGAAATATAATAAATAGTTTGAATCTATAGGTATACAGGCAAAGACAACAAGTCTATGACATTTTCTCCTCTGCTTTATTTTTTTTATTTACCCGTTGTTGATTGGCTTTAGAGTTATAAGTTAAAAAGAAGCTTTTTTTCTTAGTAAATTACACAGGCAGCTAGTCGTAATAAGTGTTGTTCGCTAATGAAGTAAACTTTCTTAAAGTTGTAAGAACAATGTAGAAAATAAATAACTACATACATACAATATTAAAAAAAGATTATGTTTTAATTCATTTGGTATCAAAAAACATATATCTAGACAGGAAGTGCTAATTCATAATTAATAAAAAAAAAGTGTGACGACCCTGCATATTAGTTCGCATCCTTGCTTCCGAAACCGTTGAATATGGCATCTGCAAATATAAAATTTGTAAGTAAGTATTTTAAATAACATAGACAATAACTAAGTCCTTTATTTATGAACGTTTTGGAATACCCTTATTTATTATACACCCCCTGAATATATAAAGGCGAACACAATTTCGATTTTATTATATGGCCAAAGATTTACTCAGAGAACATTGTCATAACTCATAACCGGAGTTAAATTGCTACTGCAACGATTGTACAATATCTAAATAAATCTTTACGCCATCTATTGAACAAAAAGACAATTAATATGGAATGCATTTGGAAATTTTCGATGTTTTTTTTCTATAACATGAACAATCTTGTTGAGATTTTAATTCATTTACTATAAAAATATTTATAGGTCGTGTTATTGTCTGCATTGCTGTTTTCAGTGCTTTTGATGAAGAGCTAAATTAGGGAAAAGTGGGTAACAGTGGATCAATTATAGCAAAAAAAAAGCTTTGAATGAGGTTTATCGTGCACACGAGTAGAGAAACACTTAACAGCTGTTCTTAAGTTCTTATACCATCTGCATTTTTTTTTTTTTTTTAACGTTTGGAAGTCCTCTCGGACCGTCACCCCACCGGGGTTTGCGGCGGGGTGGTGTGTCGGACCGGACCGACTAAAACCACACGGTGTGCCACTCTGCGCCTGTAATAGGAGGGATCCGGGAACAGCTGTTATTAAGACATCCGGACCCCTCCTAGCGCCGGCCCGCTCCTGTTGCGGGCTCCGTCTCAAATTTTTTTCCCTCTCTTTATAGGCGACGTCCGGCACACGCGGACGCCGCCCCCTCGCGGCTGGCCAAACTAATGCGGGTGGAGGGGAAACCCACCCCGTCCACCCGCGGCCACACTCAGGGCGGCATGAGGCGGTGATAAGCGCGCCTCCGCCGCCCGGTTCGCCGGCGGCGGATCGGGTCCGAGTGGAGGTCGTCCTCCCGGGCCTTCTCCGCCGCCTCCTTCTGCGAGATTACTTCCTCGCAGAAGGTTGCGACCGCGGTAAAACAACTGTCGCTACCGGCCATGGAGCGTACTACGGCCGGTAGCGAGAGATCCACTCAAATGACTGCAGTGAGGGCCCGGCGCTGCGTCGCCCATGCGGGGCAGACCGCCAGCGTGTGCTGGGCCGAGTCCTCACTGCAGTCGCAGTGATGGCAGGCGGGACTCAGTTCCCTCCTAGCGACCGAGTGCAGGTACTTTCCGAAGCAACCGTGCCCGGAAAGCACCTGCGTCAGCCGGAAGGTAAGGGTCCCGTGCTGCCCACTCGGCGAACTTACACCATCTGCCTACCTTAACCCAATCAGTAGTTGCCACTCTGTTAGAGCGATAGGACGTACTGCGACGCTGCGTCGATAAGTAACAATGAAACTATCTATACATCAAAAGCCGTTCCTAGTCCACTGCTGGAGATAGACCTCTCCTTAGAAAGGAGGTTTTGGCCTACTATACATCGCTGGCCAGACGGGTTGCTATAGGTTTTGTGTCAAGTTTTGCTTCTCTATGCAGTGCTATTCCCAACTAGCAAAATATATCGTAAAAATGCCAGCAGCACGTTTCTATTTCAGCTATTGGTGGTGAGATGGATCTTCAAAATGTCGAGTAAATGATCTGTGCATATTCTCTCAACGCGATTTGGGCGCACTTCTCTCTGCTTTAAGTGATGTAAATATCGTAAGATTATCGTCTGAATAGCCAAATAGTCGAAAGAATATAGAGTAACCGCAACTCGAAAGTTACTAGTATTATATTAATCATCGGTATGCCATTTTTCAACACATTAGCTTTTCCCAAGTCGGTAGAAGGTCTTTCATTCGACAAATTTATTGTAATATAGCAGTGCAGTTGCAATCACTCGACTCTTTGATCGTGTGAATGCAACCAAGCAGCATTCATAGATCATTTTTTTTTATCATCAAACCGGTACGATCAGTGTTTGTGAAAAAAAAATTAATAATTAATGAAGTATTAAATTTTGCCATATATTATTTGTGCCATAAATTTTTACAGTCATATTGACATTCGTGACCTAAAGTTAGCTCAAAGGTGTTACTTTCATATGCGGGGTTAAATTTTTCGTCTATATTCCTTACATTTTAGTTAATATTTTCATGTGCCGTAAGATTTCTTAGTAAATAATGAATTACAAATAATATTAATTTAATAGTTTAATCTAATTCGCCATTAATAGCAATTCACTTATCATCACAAAGCATTCACTCGATTTTTAGCTGAGAAATAGAAATGAGGTTTCAACTTTACGACTTCTAGGACGGCCATAATTGCAGTTAGTTTGGGGTTCCTTAGCGCAAAATGTTAAATCCTTAATATTAGATCAAATTAATACTGTTATTAATACTCCAGAGGAATTTAAAAGAAAATTAAACATAAACAAAATATTTTACTTGGTGATTTTAATTAATGAGTGACTTTTTAAAATATTTTAGTGGCAATTTAAATGGTTTACCACCATTAGTTAAGGGGGAACCTTTACGGTAGCTCGCGAAATTAATTTTCATACAACCCTCACAGTGCATACAACTCGATTGAATGACTTTTTCATGAAATAGACAATCAATCGAGTTATATGCACTTTGAGGGCTGTTTTGATGATTTAAATAATTATAATTCTGTAACTAAATAGGTACCTATTACAGTCGCGAATCATACTTTAATCAGAGTCTTGATCAGCGGAGATATTTTCGAAATTAGAACACACTTCAGCTGACGGTTCACAAATTTCATAATCAGTAGATGTGTAAATATTTCCTACAGAACCCGCACTTGTATTATTTGATCGCTCTTCATCTGTGGTTACTGCCAATGTAGATGTTGATTGTTTCAATCGTGTATAAATCTTGTTTACTTTCCGTCGGAACCCTCCGCTTCTTTTAATTTTTTTCCACCGATTATAATCAATTTTCACAAAATAAAGCAATACGGTTGTTGTTGTAACAAAATGGCGTTTACAGTGCTGTAAAAGATTTTATTCAACTTTCATACCACAATTATGCTGTAAGACGGCTTTCAAATGATGTTTAGAGCACCTTTGGGGCTGTAACAGATAATTTTAAAGCGTTTTCTCAACTTCAAAAATTAAGCGGAATGAAAGCCTTGTAAAAAGCTATTTTATGACATTAAGTGCCGGTATAGTAACTGAGATGCTATTTTGTCGAATAAGCCGCATTTACTCTATAATTATGCTGTAACAAATACATGTCGAAAGATAGTGCTATAAAAGCTAGTTTTACGACAAATTAGAAATTCAGTTGCTTTCAAAGAGCTGTCATAGGGCTTACGGTTGTATGAAGGTGATCGAGAGATATCTTTATATAATTATCGAGTAAATGCGATATGAATTCGTCGAGTACACGTTTACTAGACATGTTAATAGAGACAAAAAGCGTTGAAGGCTAAAATATCTAGACAGCTGCTTTTAAACGGCTTTTTGAAATAATAGTATCTTTCATACGAGTGTTTTTCGATCCATAGTCGTGAGAGTAATTGCTTATACGATCTGTTTGCTAGTTGGGTTGTCTTGCGTAGTTTGATTCCTTAGTCGGCTCTTACGACACCCATGGGATGATTAGGGGTGGTGACATTCCGTATTCTTAATCAGTCACCACACGGATTACTACTATACTATATTTTAAATGTTCTACATTTTATATTTTACTAAAATTTAAAATTGGTGATTTACCTGTCCAGTTAGATTCCGTCTGTTTTCCTCTCGCCATACGATCTCCAGCAGCAAGGCCATCACACGTAGGAGTTAGTCGTGGTCTGTAAATTTGATATTCTTTTAATAATTATTTCTTGTTATCTTATTTAATACTAGCTGGTACACGCCACTTCTTTCGCGTGAAACTTGAAAAGAACTGCCTTAGTGGGTTCGATTCCCGGACCGGGGCAAAATGTAAAAGGGTTTTTCTGAGAGGGAAAATAGCCTAAGTTACTCCTTTAAATAGATAGCTACCGGGTAATAAAATAATAATAAAATCGGTCCAGCCGTTTAGAAGATTACCCAGAGCAAACAGACTGACAGACAAAAAAAAACTGGTTGTTAGGCATAGGTATCGTGCAAATAACCGTGTGAGCATGGAAAAAACAAATTTTTTGACATTACAAATCAATTTTATTTATTTGTATAGATTTTTACTTGGTCATTAATTTGATGTACTTCCTCTTTTATGAATGATGTAATAAACTGGTGTAGATACAATAAAGCTTTTATTCTATTCTTATTAAAAGCTAATTACAATTTTTTATAGATAGCTACATATATAGATTCCGTTGGGAAAACCTCCTTAGGTAGTCTCTTTGTTTCACCTTCTATTGAATACTAATAAATGACATTGGAGTATAATAAAGAACTATAGACAATTTGTTCTTAAAATTCAAAATTATGAGTCTTATTTTGTAAAAGTTGACAGAAGTAAGTAGAATAAGAAACTGAATTTAAAAGTTATTGCGTTTGAATTTATATTCGCAAGTGAAAGTTGTAACTTAACATTTGTCATGTAGTCATTGATATAATAAAAAAAAAATGTTATTAAAATAAACATAGATATGTACTGGTAACCAGAGACAATAGATAGGGATGGAAGAATTTCGAACGAATAACTGAATTGAATACTTTTTTATAACCTTCTAGGTGATACTTGTGTACCAAATAAGACAGGCGAGATAACGTTTATTCTACACTTGCTTTTACCCGCGGCTCCGCCCGCGTAAATGTCGGTAATCGCGGTGAAAAGCAGCTTATGTCACTCGCTGATCATGTAGCTTTCCATTGGTGGAAGAATTTTTAAAATCAGTTTAACGGGTTTAGGCGCGAAAGCGTAACAAACAAACAAACTTACTTTCACATTACAATATATGATTGACATACGAGGTATTTCATGTGATTTTACTAGCCCATACAACACAAACTCATCATTTTTTGGCTATCTGTCTGTTTAAGGAGTAACTTAGGCATTTTTTCTCTCAGAAAAAGTGTATAAAATTTTGTCCAGTCCGGGAATCGAACCCATTAAGGCAGCGCTTTTCAAATTGCACTCGAACGAAGTCGCGGGCACATAGGTATCGTACAAATAACCAAAGTAAGCATGAAAAAAACCTATTATTTTGACATTACAGACAGACATTTCAATTTTATTTATTTGTATAGATTATTACCCACGGATAGCATAGTGGTTGAAGCGGTCGCCAATTGTGCTCTTTTGTGTTGGTTTAATTTTCCAACGCAATAAACTTACGAAAAAAAAACAACTGAACAACCCAGAAATTCCAAAAAAAGTCTAATTCAAAGTTATCATGACTTTTGGGTAACTTTGAATAAAAAGTTTTTGGATGTAAAAACCTTTATTACTTAAATATTTAATGAATTGGGTAAAATTGAATGACGTGACTACGAAAAAGGCGGGTACTTTGCAAAATATGTATTGGACAGTTTAGTTTATTTTATATTGACGTTTAACGTAGTTCCGATATTGAAACAACAAAAAGCCTCTTTAAATTAATTAATAAATCTATTTCACAACTTTATTCTAAGTTAAACTGCAATACAAAGTTACCAAAAATGACCTACCTACTCACATTTTAAATATCATTACAAAGACTTATAAGCAAAAGATTAGATGATTTTCAGTGTGCAATGTTTTGATTGAACCAGGAATGACCAGGATATTACCACGAAGTTTTAACAAATGACATGAAACCATGCAATACGGCAATAACAGACTGTCATTATAATTCTGCTCGTTATAAAATTAATAATTTTACCATCATTCATTTAAACAATTGAAATTCTCTATTTAATTATTTATTATTAAATTAATTCGCTTATAAGATTTACTATGAATAATGATGATGATTTACCAATATATGATTTAAAATAGACTAAAAACTGTTGATCGAATTAAGAAGTAATTTTAAAAATTAAAATATCGCAAGTTATGGTTTTTTTTTATCACTTTTCCGGTTTTGTAGGCAGAAGGAGAAAAACAAATCGTCCAGTATCTTTGCTTGTAACCCTGCGGTAAAAAAAAACCATTCAAAAGACTTAGGTATACTTTCCTTGTTTGTTTTATAAACCTTAAAAAACAGGTAAAAACAGGTAGACATATTGGTGTTTATGCTTTTCTAAAGCATAAACACCAATATGTCTACGAGTATGTACTCGTAATATTGAAACTTTAGAAAAAAATTACATAGCACAATTACTAAGCGAGTGAGCACGTGACGTAACACCAAATACGCCATCCCGAACACTGCCATGAGAACCAACGAAGCGAGCATTATCCTCACTTCCATTGTCTCGGCTCGTCGATCTACGAACAAATATCGGTCTATGGGGTCCAAAACATAACGGTTCATGGCTCTTGTAAGTACTGAAACCAATGTCCAAAAATCTTAAATGCGCAAACGTTTTTTGCCACTTCACTTTTGTTGCGTCTGTCTTGTTGAACAGATTGATTTTGACTATATCTGCTATATGTGCAGTTTGAGTCCTTTAAATTTGAATTATATTTAACGACAGCACGTCGAAACGCAATAATGTACTATATTAATTTAGATTTGGGGCATAATATTCAATGTACGTAAAAGACACTTCCGGCCTTTTCATCATTGTAGACAGTATGGTTTACATTATTGAAATGGGGGGTGATTTTGATTAATGATCCTGCAGGTTGAATTGCAGTCGAAAGCAAGATTTTTTTTTGTTTTTTTTTGTTCAGGGTTCATGTTCTTACTTATTTGTTTTATTTTTTAATGGTTCCAATTAATTTTAAAAATTGATAAGGGTATAGTTTCATTTTGAGAGTACCAAATGGACAATTCAAGCTCAGAGGGTTGCAGGAGAGAGCATTTTTTTTTAATTTGTTCTTGGAAGACCAACAGCTTTACAAATTGATTTAATATTCTATAGGTTACATTCAGCCATTAACAGGTCTTCACGAATAGAAAACAGTGTAAGTGCGAGGATGTAGTATTTGAAAGCTGTTGTAAGAAATAATTACAACATTCAATTAGTATACTGAAAAGAACAGTTAACCAGCTCTCACCAATTGCTGACTAGTCGCAAATATGTCAATTTCTAAGCGTTTACATGTTTTTTTATCGTGTATGTACCCAAACATTTCTAAAAGTGGGTATTTTCATCTGTACCTATCTTGTTACCCGATATCAGGCATATTAAGGTGCGAGCGCGTTGCGAAGCGCGCTCGCTTCCAGGGAGCAGAGGGAACATGGGGTTCCCACACGGGGGGGTCGTCTACCTGTTGTTGTAGATGGCTCGAGGTATGTCGGGGTACCAGGGACTTCCTTTCTAGGGTATACCTGGTTTCCCGGCTATTAGTACCCGAGACGGCGTGCGGTTTTAGTCGGTTCGAGTCCGACATGCCACCGATAGGTGGTATCCGAGGGGATTTCCGCACGGAAAAAAAAGGCATATAAAGGTATTGTTGTTATATTAATTGAATATTCTTAAGAATAAGTGTATGGTACACGATCAACGTATCGAACATTACTCACACCAGGAAGGATTAGCAACTCATTATCATCTTCAGAAAGAAGGTTTAGGCCACGCTGGTCAGACGAGTTGGTATAGGGTTCGTATCAAGTTTTTCGTCTCTTTGCAGTGCTTTTGTCCTGCCTAGTTTGCTCCCTTAGTCGGCTCTTACGACACCCGTGGGATGAATAGCGGTGGTGACACTCAGTATTATTAATCCGTTACCACACGTAAGATATAAAAAAGTCATTAAAATTTGAAAAAAAGATACGCTTCGAAAAGGTGGAAAATTAAGAAATGAAGAACATACAATTCATCACGATAATAATGGGTGCATTGACGTCGGTAATATTTTTATTAAAGTTTAGTTAGTAAGGTTATGGTCTTTGTTACCGCACCATCTATCGGCGGCTGAGGAAACTCACTCGGCGCGGGAAAACTCACGTCAACATTTGGCCCTAAACTAAGTAAAGCTTGTACTATGAATGCTAGATTGACTGAATGAAAAGGTACTTATTTTCTTTTTTATGTAAATCCGTACATCTAAACAAATACCTAAATAAAATTGAAGTGTCTGTTTAAAGTGTCAAAATAATAGCTTTTTACATGCTCACACGTAAAGTATATGCACGATACCTATAGATTAGGCAATGATCCCAGGAGCCAAGTCGGGCCCCAACGGTGACCTTGTAACCTTGGATCAGAGGTCAGCAGTCTTTCAACATATTGATACCGAGGCGGCGAAAACTGATATCATCTCTAACGTACACGCACACTAAAGCTCTAGCAACATAGGAGTGTTCCAGAGAATAGCCAGGGGAGGAGAGGTAGGATATGTCCGATGGACATTGCAGCGTCTCGGTTAAAAAGAGCAAGGCCGGTTTTGCTGTCTCGGTGGTTGTAGACACAGTTGAGGTCAGAGGTGATCTGATGTGCCTGCTCTTGCGCTGGGAGATATTTTGTAGAGCGCAGTTTTGACCTCCTCTCCCCACCCCCCATTATACGCGGGGCAGCCTAGACATCCACGCCCAGATGCATGGTGTTCTGAACTTGGACGAGATGCATTAGATACAGTGTTTCATTAGATACAGTGTTTTGGCAAAATTATTACGTTATGTTTCTACGAGGAAAAACATTGTAATTGGTTTAACAATGTTTTGCCGTGTTCTGGTACCATTAAGGCTTGGCAAATCTATCGTGTCAATACAAGTTAGTGGCGATCTCTTTTTTTTCTTAGTGAGTTAATAGAAAAAAAGTACTCGGCTATGTAGTATATACAACTAATAGATACAAAACATTTTACACAATTGAGTAATGATGAATAAAAAAAGCAATTGGTTATCAAAAACGCTAATTCTCAAAAATCTGAAAAGTTGTTTTCAAAAGTTACAATGTACTGAATTGGCACGGCCGAGTGACCATTTTTATCTTTTAAATTACACAAAAAAATAATAGGTTATTTACGAAGCTATTTTAAACAATACATTATTATTCCTTATCCAATTAAATACATTAGATATGTTCCTTACAGCATATCATCAAATCGAACATTTTAGAAGATATTAGAGGTTTAAAATGCAGAGCAATGCGGAAGTCGCCGCTTCGGGATCCATTTTCTAGGGTGAAATATCAATTCACGAATAAAGTCAGTGCTATCTTTCGATTAAAATAATATTGAAATTATTGCTGAATTATCGATTATTCGATCGATCTCAGTCGCCTCCCTACAATCATCAATGTGAAAAATGACAAATACGTCTAAATACGTCAGAACTATGTGCATAGAGCATAGATAAAACTATAACTTTGTGGGCATTGTCGGCTAAATGCGCTGTAACAAAATATTTTCTGTGAATAAAATCACTACTGGTAATTAACGAAATCAATACAGCGTTAGCCTGTAAAATTAGTTTCCATTTTCCAATACGAGTGTCATTTTAAACAGAACAGGAATCGACATTACAATTAAAGTAAAGTACTACAAATTTAATATTAAAAAAATGTCTTAAATTTAAAGTATAAACTATTATAAAAATACAAAAGCACAAGTACTGGCCGTGTGGCAACGATGACGTGCTATTATCGACTTTAAACTTTGCAGATCAAAGATATGAACAAAATGCACAGGTTACAAATTATAAATACTCTTAAAAATACTTTTTTAAATATAGTAGTTTATTAAATAAAAATTACTCATTATAGAATAGTGCATTTGGATTTAAAAGGAGCCCCTTTAAAAATTCCATATTTGGAAAAGGTGAGATATTTAAAAGTATTTCTTACAGTATAGTGTACTCAGGAACAAATCTGAAATGCCAAATTTAATTGTTATAACTTAAAATAAAATGTTTTATTGGTACTTACTTTATGTACTGCCCTACCATTCATTCATACATCATTACTTACACATTGCCAAAGTTATTACTATGGACATAGGGTTTTTATACAGAAAAAAACTTGTGAAAGAACACAGAAAGTATGATAACAAAGCAAGAGGAAAAAAAGGCATAGATTTTTTAATAATATTAAATTAAACATTATTGAATTTCCTGTTTAAACATTTTATAAAACCATAAAGTTGATTTTTTTTAGCTATGTAACCATTTTTGTAGCTCTACTATGTACTTTAATAACATGTGTATTAGCATTGATTGTAAGCTTCAACCCTCTTACGTTCTAGGTGTTGTTAACAGCACAGTCATGGGGTGCAACGGGTTTTCTATTCGAGTGGGAGGATACATTTCCATACTCAGGAGAACTAGCAGACATTGGCAGTCAGAAAGACAGCGGTGGAGATGGAATGTATTCAATGGAAGAAGTACAGCATATCTTCCAATTTGCCCGGGACAATGGTTTAGTGGCTGTAAGACTATAAACTTAAAAATAACTGTTTACCTACCAACATACACATTCCCTTGTTGTTTATTTACTAAAACAGTATTGTTTTTGTCAATCTTGTTGATCTCTCTGTCTGTGTAATTTTTCTTTTTTTTTGGTTTAAGTCATTTATTCTCAAAAAGGCAATACAAAAGCCACTTGCATGAGAACACAAAATAACATTTTTCTTAAATTATTAAGTATGGGTCATCGAAACAATAATTAAAATACATAGATTAACTGAGCTATGACAATAAAGACTTAATATTGTAGTTGTAAAGTAATCTATACAATAAAATTAAATACTATATATACAAAAAAAAGAAAAAATTAATACAGATACAAATTAATTAGTATGTAATACAATCTAGGCACACACTCAACAGATGATATCACAAGTAAAAATAAAAAAATGAAAAACAAAACCAATAATTTGTTCATATTTATGTCTGTCCTTTAAGGATGCTAGTGACACTTTGATAGGGCAAACATTCTAGAATGTGACACCAGCCAACCAGCCGGTATAATGAACCTTATGTTTCTCGTTGCTTAAACACACAAAACTCAAGTTTTATAGTGTATGCCATGTCTTTCTGGATTCATCAACAGCCTTTAGTAGTTTACTGCAGGCATTACATAAGCATATCCTTAGAAAGAAGATTTTGGCCTACTATATCACCTGGGACAGACAGGTTGGTATAGGGTTTGTTTCAAGTTTTCCTTCTCTTCGCAGTGCTGTTGTCCTGTGCAGCTAGTTCCCCTAGTCGGCTCTTACAACACCGACGATGAATAGAGGTACACATCTTTACACCGATTATTAAAACTAAAATGAGCTTCTGGTCAATAATTAACCATTACCTTCATTCCAGATCCAGCTAGTACAAACTATTGGACACTTGGAGTTTGTCCTTAAACATCCAAAATATATTCCACTTAGGGAGATACCAAATTCTCCAGCTGTGTTATGTCCATCCAGGGAAGGATCACAGGACCTGGTGATGAAGATGGTGGATCAAACACTAGATGCGCAGCCTGATGCTCAATTTTTTCATATTGGAGCTGATGAAGTAAGATCTTAAAATATGAATTAAATTGATTGTAAGGTCTTTTAAATTTTTGCAAGGAACTTGGAAATAAGACTGTAGGACATGCTTGTTTATTGGTTAATGCTGGGCTAGAAGTTGGGGGTTTGATTTCTGCCCAGCATAATCATTCGTTAGTTTCTGGATGTTATTTAATAGTTTGGAATCAGACTGCAGCGTATAAGGCATTTCTTCTTTACATATTGTGTACATATTGTACATAAATATACATTATTATTATATAATTGTGTTGTACATAGAAAAAACAATAATTAAATTTTTAGTCAATGCTTTATAATAATAATTAATAAATGTATTCTAAAAAACTTTTATTGTGCAAATTATTCTAGGTGTGGCATAAAGCTGTTTGTTCAGATTGTCAGAACAGAGCTTCCACTAGGAGATACCAGGGAGACGCTTTGTTCTTAGAGTACATCCAAGATTTAACTTTATTTATTAAGCGAAAGAGACCAAATTTGACTATACTCATGTGGGATGATATGCTTAGATCCATCAATGAAGATGCTTTTAAAGGTTAGTAAAGGTAAACTAGCTTTCTGTAGACTACTGTGTAATATGAGACTTGATTACTGTTAAAGTCTTTGTAATGAAAATTAATAGATTCATTAATATGGATAATAATTGTTTAAAACAAACATGTTGACAAATGTTGTCTTGCATAAACAGCACTCCAGTTCCATGGAACTACTGGGAGAAAAAAATCCCAGAAGACCGTAATGGAACTACTGGGATCAGACGAAATTAATAAACTATGTAGAAGTTTAATTAAAAATATATTAAGTACTATCTGGTGCCCGCGACTTCGTTTGCGTGGAATTTGAGAAGCGTTGCCATAGTGGGTTCGATTCAATGAGCGGGAAATTTTAAGGGAGTTTCTGAGATAAAAAATAGCCTTAGTTACTCTTTATATAGACAGCTACCTGGTACCTGGTAAAATATTATCTAAATCGGTACAGCCGTCTTGAAGATTACCCAAATTAAACAGACAGACAGACAAAAATATTTTAAACTGATTTTTAGACATAGGTATCGTGCAAATAACCGAGTGAGCATGAAGAAACCTATTATTTTGACATTACAAACATACACTTCAATTTTATTTATTTGTATAGACTAGCTTTTGCCAGCTTCTCCGCCCGCGTGTATATCGATAATCGCGGTAAAAGGTAGCCCATGTTACTCACTGATATTGTAGTTTTGGATTTGAAAGCATTTTTAAAATCGGTTGAGTGGTTTCGACGTAAAAGCATAACAAATAAACAAACAAACAAACTCACTTTAATATTTATAATATAAGATTTAATGTTTGTTCAGAAATATATGCGCCCCTTGACGGCACTGAATAGGTTTGGCACCTATTAAATAAGTGGCACTAAAATTTACAGAAGTGACATCTACACATCTACACACAAACGGTCACATTTTGTCGACAAAGACGTGGGTACACCAACGTCTTGTGTATGTATTTTACCGGCAATTTAGTCTATGATAATTTAGTGCCAAGTACCTACTTAATAGGGGGCATAACTATTGCTGTCAAGTGCGCATTTTGGGAATATTAGTCACCAGTCGGGTTGGTATAAGGTTTGTTTCAAGTTTTCCTTCTCTTTGCAGATCTGTTGTCCTGCGTAGTTTGCTCCGTTAGTCGACTCTTACGACACCCACGGAATGAATAGGGGTTGTGACACTCCGTATTCTTAATCCGTCACCGCAGGGTCTAGTCTCTTCTAATACTTTATTTCTTACAGCATACTCTTTCTTAAACGTCCAGCCAGTATATTGGAATTATAACACAATAGACAACTTTCGAACGGACCATGTGCTTTGGCAGAAGTACACCAAGCTGTTCCCCAAGATATGGGCTGGATCAGCGTTCAAAGGAGCCAATGGAAGCTGTCAGGTAAGGATTTTTTTTGATTAATCTGATTTTATTAGCTTCACTTGTAACTAATTATGGAAACAAACTTTTATTTTGTTTTTTTTTCTAATAATGGTCCGTTGCGCCCTAAATTTAACCCCCCTCCCGCCCCTCTAAAATCAGGTGAACGGGAGGTTTTCGAAAGAATTGCATTAAATTGTCTTATTGAAATGAAAAGAATGTATATGAAGTTCGGATTACAATACGATAATTTGATTAGAAACTGCTCTGACGGTTCAGCCAAGAGGTGGACCCTTCGAGTTTCGAGTCTCATATGGTTCCATAGAGGGTTTCCAGCTAAGGTGTTGTAATAAGTAGTTAAAATAGAGTTGTCTTCGGACTTCTGTCCATCCACAGAATTGAGAATGAGTAAGAAATAACGATGTGGGTTGGGACCTTGCGCAAATGTTATGAGTTAACTCGATAATCGAACTAACTATTATTATTATAAATCGTAACTAATTATTACGGCGATAGAACAATCGAAAAACGTGTATCATACTGTATGAACAGCATACCTGCAAGCATTAGAAATGAGCCAAATAAAAATAAATTCTCAAGATTGCTTAAGGAGTTCCTTTTAGATACTGTGTGAGAATGTAACCTAAATATACATGTAATGAGAATCAATTTTGTTCATACAGACAAACAGCGAAAGTTGTTTTGTGAGGCACTGTAGAACCTTATAGTTTCAATGTAAGCTTAATATATATATAAAAAAAAACAGTAGTACTCCGGGAGAGCCAACAGAAGGGAAAACTTGAATATTTAAAAAAATAAAAAAGGTTTTTTCCATTCGAAAAGTTCCGTCAGGAATGTATTATATCTGTGTTGTAATGAATCAATCAGTCCAGGGCCAGTAATTTTATATGTATACGAGTTGATCATGTGGTTACGTTTCCCGCGTATATTCGTATGTACGAGAATGTTTGCACTTTTTTTATTTTTTTAAAACAAAATAATGTATTTTTTGAGATGGGAAAAAACCATAGAACTCGCGATACTGTTACCGTTACCGACACCTCTGTATATAAGTATCTACATATATTGGTCCCGTTTACACGAGAGTTGAGTTTGGGTTGAAATACATTGATAATATAACTATATATAATATAAACATATATTTCGTATATACGTACAACATAGATATATATGTCAGAACTTTCGACTTGTATAAACTCAATTTTTTCCTGTTATTATAAAAAAACAAGTTTTCACTTCTGTCTTAACTCCCGGAGTGTCATTTTTGTTTTAATCTAACTTAACTTGCTTCTTTCAGGCATTATCACCGGTGTGCCGCTATGTAAGCAATCACGAGGCTTGGTTGCGGGAATTCAGTATTTACAAAGAGAGCATCAATTTTGTGGGCATCATACTGACTGGGTGGTCCAGGTAACACAACGATGTAAATTTTCTATCAACTATAGTGAATGTTCGTGTATTTATTTCTACTAAAGCTACCACGGGCATGTGATTGATAGTTATATTGGAATCTCACTAAATAGGAGTTTGGTGCGAGTAATTGCAGAACTGCTGCCACTCAGCTGCGAACACTCACCAGTGTGACGTTAACAGATAGTTAATTGAACAAATCATGGAGATAAAAGTTGCTGTTTTCAAAACAAACAACGTTGAATGATTTCAAACAAAAGCTTTAACTACTTTTTTTATGCAGCAAACACTGACACCATAACCAATTATAACTAGATCTCTAAAGATAAAATGTCTATGGTTATTCAAAGTATTATTCCAGCGGAGCTGGACTAGGAGAGGTTTAGAACTCTCCTGGCCAGCCAGGCTTGGGAACGGGCCAGGTACCGCAGACGACTCAGGCGCCGGAGGTCGCAAAACGACCTCCTTTCTCCATAAGCGCAGGCCTGGGGGTGACAAGTGAGGCCATCTGTCACCCTAGCAGAAGCAGGCCGGGGTGGCGGCGAGCGCGTTACGAAGCGCGCGCGCCCCTCCGGGAGCACAGAGGGAACATGGGGGTTCCCAAACCCAGTAGTCGGGGCACCAGGGATTTCCTTTCTAGGCTACACCTGGTTCCCCGACTACTGGTACCTGAGACGGCGTGCGGTTTTAGTCGGTTCGAGTCCGACGTTGCCACTGTTAAGTGGTATCCGAGGGGATTTCCGCACAGAAAAAAAGGTGTACCATTATTTACCTTTTTATTTATCTAGTATCAAATGAAACCCTGCTCGAACTTGTTCATAAAATTTATATTGCAGTTCAGTTCACCCTATTCTACCTTACACTCTGATATATTTATTACAGGTACGATCACTACGCAACTCTGTGTGAACTAATGCCTGTGATGTTGCCCAGCCTCGCTAGTTGCCTCAAACTGTTAACTAAAGAAGACCACCTGGGTATAGGTAAATAAACACGTTAAATTTTTTTTTTAAAGACAACTCCCGGTTAGGAATATATCCTGTGTCGCGGAGGAAATGGACACAAAGAACACCCAGACTCAGAACAACAATTTGTGGATCACACAAAGTGTTTTTCCATGTGGGGTTTAAATCCACAACACTCGGTGTAGTAGGAAGTGATGTGGTGTTAAAACCACTACGGCATCCGTGCAGTACGTAGTGTTTGCCCTCACTCCTCACACGCGTGATATTAAAAGTGGACCAATCTTTACAATGAATTATTTTTTTACATAAATTTATTTACGATATGTTACTAATGGGCCTGGGTCTAGTGGTCAGTAACTATGACTGCTAAACCAGTGTTGGTAGGTTCGATTCCCACCCGGGAATAGTGTACCAGGTGGGATTCGATTCCGTAACCGCAGACCGACCAACCGAGACCTTATCGACTCGGGTTTCAATATCGCTAGAATCTATTTTACTCATCTGACTCAAAATTGACTTCAGAGCACGTGATAAGAGAGTACCTCCCGCCCCAAGAGTGGCCTGGGGAGGAGCTGGCGCGATGCGTTCATTCCTTCGTCATTCTGCGGGAACGGTGCACGAACCTATTACATGGTGAAATGTAAGTAAAAACAATATTTTCTTGATTATTAACGAGTGTTTATGTTTTCATTTATATATGTATTTAATTTTCCCCTCCTTCCTCTAAGTGTTAATATTTTAAGGCATATTACACAGTTCAATAACCCAATAGCCAACCAACAATAGTTGTATTAAGGGGCTTAGAACGCGGATGAACAAACATAAATACCGTTTATACAATACGCACAACACAACTTTCTATAACACATATATGTATTAATACGTGAAGCGAAGACTTTGTACTCCTTTTTAAGATAATTGCGCGAAGGGATGAACGTGAAATTTGATAAAGTGACGGTAGCTTTTTTATCACAAAGGCATGCCAAAGCCACAATTCTTAAAAGAGCCATATATATATATTAAAGACAGCAACAACTGTGTGTGTGTGTCTGTGTTTGTGTGTGTGTCTGTGTGGGTGGGTTTGTGCATGACCGATGCCTTTAGCTTTCACGCTTATTTAAACTGGTTGCGCTGAAGGGATTCAATTTGTTCATAGTCCATCACCTTAATAGGTTGGTTATGATGATGAAGCAATTCTTTCGTTACTTTCCACCGAGTGAGTGAGGTTACCCGAGGACCCCCCTTCTGCTCAAGTCTGGTGGACGAGAAGGGAAGGCACACAAAAAATGCAACGAAAAGGTGTCCATGGATGGCGGTCGATGGGTAGTCACTATCAGGTAGACCTGTCTCCTTGTTTGACCCCCACTGTATAAAAAGAACAGAGTCACAATCGAATCTGCGATCTCTGCGACTTGCCATATATGTTCATTGTTGAGCAAGTTAAAATGCTGGTTACACTGACTATTTACAAAGTGGGAATAATCGCAGTTCAATCGTTAATCGTTAAATATGTACATGTATAGTGATTATTCGATTATTCCAGGGTATCAACATGGCTGAACCCATGGCAGGTGGAGAGAGGCTACACCGTGTCTATACATGTCCAATCTATTGCCTACTCGGCTCGTATGTAAGTAGTTAATTTGATTTTAAAGTTTTAATTGCGATAAGTATTATATTAATCATTGGGACCTGTTTGGTCCTAACGATTAAGTCGGACCTAGTGAAGCAGAACAGGAAACTATTGATTTTTAATAAGTAAATTGTTAATCAAAGAAACATTTATAGCCAAAACCTCCTTTTGTAAGGAGAGGCCTATGTCCAGCAGTGGACTATGACAGTGTATGATGAAAAATGAGCATAGCATCTGAGACAAAGATTTTTGTTTTGATAAAAGTTGTGGAAATTCTACATAACATTTATTCTCGATACTATCATTAAATAAAAATAATGATACTGGTCGCGTTGGCCTTGCGGACCGCGGTCCGACTAAAATCAAATCTTAATTGCGCGATGCAGGCTCCGTAATTTTTTAACTGCGGTTACTATGACCATCTAAATAATGTAGTTCGTCACTAGGTGACGCTGAAATATGTATAAACAGGTTTATAACAGTTTTTCCTTACAATATTAACATGTTTTTTTTTCAGCCTATTAGAAGAAGCTAAGAATCTATCCCAAAGCCTATCAACACATCTGCACTCCGTAACCGGAAAGAGGAGTAAAGAGGAGTGGTTGAGGTCAAACGTCACTCCTATCTTGACAAAAATGACTGAACTGTGTGAAGTTGCTGAGAACGCTATGAAACGGGACGCTGGAATTCGTCCTTGAATAATGACGCTATTGAAAGCTTAGAAATGTAACCAGAACTATGTATTTTGTTTAAACTACTACCGAATATGAATATGCCTATATATATATATTTTCTAATAATTCTTTCGACGAAAATGGTCATAATCTTACAAAAATTGTCATGATTAGTCAAAATCTGACAAAATTAGTCATAATATGATTAATATACTAGACCTTTTGTATCAACAACAGTTCCATATTTTGAGCATTTTAAATGAATTAATATATCAGGACACAAACCACGCGCTGCAGTTTTGCAGCAGCATTTTTCATCAGGTGAGCCATTCCTTGGCCCCTTTATCATAAAAAGAAATACAGTTTTTGTAGTTACATTACGGTATACAGGGTGTCCTATAAGGTGAAGTGTTATTATTTAAAAAAAAAGTTTATCATCACATATATAAATTATATTATTTTGGAACTGAAAAATTGATCTTGCAATTTGGCGATAAAAAACAAAAATCGAGGATCTAATCCGAGGAGTTTCAAGTAATATGGAATATAATTGTACCAAAGATATTATTGTTTAGAGACCAGAAATAACTATTTCTTACAAAAAAAAAACGAGCGAGCCATACTCAGTAATAACACATAATGTATAACATCTGAAATCTCAATAAATAATAATAATAATAATAATCTTTATTTACCAGAAAAAAATACAGATATAGTTTGTGCATAAAAAGAACAACAGATTAGATTGTAATTACAGTAGTGCATTGTACTTAGTCCTTAGTTGCTACGAGTATAATCTGTACCAAAAATAATAACGCTATCTCTTAAACTAGGTATTCCTGTATTTTAAGAGCTAGTGTCAGGCTATCAGTTTACACTAAAAGAATTATACAACAGGTTGGAAGCAGTGTTGATCTTTCATTAAGGCAAGCAATTTTTAATCTATTTTATATAATATAAATATTTTCGATTTGTATGGATATATTTATGGTGTGAGTGTATGTGTGTGGGTGTGTGTTGTGTGTGTATATGTGTTGTGTGTGTGAATGTGTGTTTGGGGGGGTCATGAGAGGTATTTTATAAGAGACTCTGTTTGGAAGTAGTCTTGATTTTGTAACCACTCGGTCACTTTAGACTTTACTTCATATATGTTAAGATCTCTAATACCCAACTTTTTATGTATTTGCTTATATACGTGAGTGCTTTGCGTATAGTACTGCTATTTAGCAAATGTGGTATTGTGTGGGGTGCCTGGGAGAAGGTTGGTTCGCTTCGTAGGGTCCGCAGGGGGTAGTCTCGAATGCTTCCTAAGGATCGATTTGAGCACAAAGAGCTGACGTACTGTTAGTACTCGACATTCTGAATATAATTTTGTAGTTGGGTATTTCCTGGGCTTTTTGGTCATAACTTTAAGTATGGCTCTTTGTGCTCGTTCTACTCTCACAAATTTTGTTTTATTTGCTCCTCCCCAAACAACGATACAGTATTCTATAATTGATTTGCATAAGACATTATATACTAAGTTTAATGTAGCGCTGTTCGCAGTCTCCCGGAGTGTCTTAAATATGTGAATGAGACGCATTACACGAGTAGTCAGTGCATCCAATTGTTTATCCCATTTTAGTGCATCGTCAATAAGGACACCTAGGTACTTAACGCTATCAGTCCTCTTGAGTGTAGCGCAAGAACAAGACACGGATTGGTCTGTACATGAATGGGCAGTTAGTGAAAAAGAAGAAGGCGGGGAGGTGTTACGTCGAATGGCAAAGGGAATAAAAACAGTTTTGTTTAAATTTAGGGTTAACAAGTTTGAGTTTAACCAACTCATTATTTTAGCAAGAGTAGTTTCTGCCTCTCTTTTAACAAAATCCCAAGTAGATCCATAAACTATTATTGCCGTATCGTCGGCATAAGCGCATAGCTTGGAGTTTGGAAAGTCCATCGTGCACAGATCATTAACATATATCTGGAAGAGGGTAGGGCCAAGGATACTACCCTGCGGAATACCGTAAGTCAACTGCTCTTCATCACTCAGATACATATCAATTTTAACACACTGGGTGCGATTTTTTAGGTAATCCTTGAATATGTCTAGTACAATGCCTCTCACACCCAGGCGCTCCATTTTCGAAAGAAGTCAATCTGTTGCATGTAGAAAGATGATATTGTTAAATTAATTTATTTGTACACTGGTAACTTTCAAACATGTCGATCAGGCAATATTATTTAACATCTTTAATGTACACATGTTTATACAAATAAAATATCTTGTATCTTGAACTCCGACTCAAGCAGTATGCTTGGTTTTTTTATTTAAAAAGGACAACTACCGCGTCAGGAATATATCCTGTGTTGCTGGGGACTTTACAAACATACTGCCAGGGACACAAATAACACCTAGACTAAACACAACAGTTTGTGTTTCACACAAAGTGTTGTGTTTAGGCTAGGTAGGAAGTGGTGTGGCGAACGCTTAAACCACTACGCCAACCGCACGGATGGCGTAGTCATCACTGATCGTTTGATTGGTCAAATTAATAGCGCCCGCTTCTTTAACTTCCTGTTACGCACTTCCGTCCCTTTTGACAAAATCTCCAACAGATTTTAGAAGAACGACATCAAAGATGTCTACATCAATAAATTAATTAATACATGTTGTATATTTAGTGTGTTTATGCTTATTTAATGTACAATATTCTTCATAGATTACGGAATAGGGGCGGACCTAAGCTGGATCCTCTCGGTTATTTTTGTGTAGTCAAGACTCAGGGTAGGTTCCAATTTGTTAACCTACTAGACCTAGCCTAGTGACCCCCTCCTGGATCTGACCTTGAACTCCATCTATTCTCCTTCAAGTACGGATGTAGTAGTGTGTTATCAATTTAACTATAAACTTAAATGCCATAAAACCATAACATTCCACTTTCAAATCCTATTTTTTCAAATACTTCACCAAATTGTAGGTTTTAAGGTTTTTAAGCATGTAGATATGTAATTAAGATTAAGAATACAGAATGTCAGCGCTCCTATTCATCCCGTGGGTGTCGTAAGAGCCGACTAAGGGTAAACTGTGCAAAACAACAGCACTGCAAATAGAAGGAAAACTTGAAAGAAACCCTATATCAAACCGGCTGGCCAGCGTGGTATAGTAGGTCAAAACCTTTATTGTAAGGAGAGGCCTAAGTCCAGCAGTGGACTGATAAGGGCAATTGATGATGATTGATGAGATATGTAATATACGAAACAGCTTATTTATTTTAAACCAATTCAAATGACGTAGCTAAAAGGAAACTTAGATTTTAGACACCAAGGTATTTATCTGTCCTCGCATAACCTCGGATCTACTTAATATTTCTATACAGAATGTTTGCATAACAGTGTGATTATATTTTGGAATTGCACGGAAGAACCCGTGAGTAAGGTAAAGCGGTAACAATTAAATAAAAATATTGATAAAATCTCCAAACATGTCCATAAATTAAAATTGACAAATAAATTCACATGTTGTTAAGAATTGTATCTTTTTCTAAGACGAAATATGTCCACTGCTGGACATATGTCTCCCCAAGTTTTGCCACAGCAACCGGTCCTGTGCCTCTCGCATCGAACGGCTTTCCGCCACCTTCACTAGGTCGTCTGACCACCTTGTGGGGGGCCTACCCATGCTCCGTTTTCCGGTAAAGAAATGTATAAAACATACATTTATTACGAAGAACTTTCTAATAAAATAATTATATTGTATTTTTTTTTACATAACACAAAAATTGATCACACGGTTATGTAACATACTGTATAAGCGAATTATGTACTTTTGATAACTATTAGTGTATATTGTACTACCTGTATAACTTGTAAGTGTATGTTACCAAATAAATGAAGTATGAATAAAGACACCATAACTTTATTTTCATGTTACCTGCTTATAAATGGTATGGTATGATTAACCATTTAGTGATCCCTGTCGCTGAGCCTGAGGTCGGGGGTTCGATTCCCACCCACGACAAATAATGATATCTATATATTTTTTTAGTATAGGAGGCAATGGTGCAGACGGGTCCACCGGTGGTGACAGGTATCCTATCCCAGGCCTATGGACACAACCCTACAGGGTATTTTGGCCCTTTTTTTACGTGTGGAAACCCCCTCGGGTCGTCACCCCACCGGAGTTTGCGGCGGGGTGGTGTGTCGGACTCGGACCGACTAAAACCACACGGTGTGCCACTGCGCATGTAATAGGAGGGATCCGGGAACTGCTGTTATTAAGACATCCGGACAAGGATATTGTAGCCCTGAGTTAAAGAGGAGAGTTGGTCCTCAATAGTAACCAGACTGCTGATGAACAGACTACCTGATGAACATACTACCAACTATAAAACAAGCATACACATAGTACTATGACTCAAAAAACCTTACTGTCTTATTTGTTTCATTAAAACTAACATTATTGTCAAATTAAGATTTAAATTACCTATATTATTAATAAAATGAAACATTTCAGATATACACAACATTGTGACATTAAATGATCTAATAGACAGCGCTGAAAGGGATCATGAGAGGGCCGATCCCGAGCGTAGAAGACGTCGGCAGCGATATCAGCTGCAAACGGTGCAACGGGCTGCAACTGAGTGGGAACCTCTGGTGCACTGCGGTTGGGGATAGGGTGGCATAAAGATGCGTTCGGGCTGCTTCGTCGTTATTGAAGCGGGGAAGTCGATTTGGGGAGGACCTAAAATCACATGGCCTGGGACCTCCCCAGAGTAGGGCGCCTTAGGCGGTCCGTTGGGGTTGTATTTAGTGAAAAAACCATATAATCCACTACTACTACTGCGCCCCAAGAAGCCGGAGAGAAAAGGTATAGATTTCCTAATTCACTTCTTCTTCTTCTTCTTCACTTCCACACGAGTGTTCAGGAGTTCCTTTATACCAATAGTAATTTAGTTTTGAGAAAGTATTACATAATACAAACTTCTCTGCGCCTACAGCATGATGTAAAATGTAAAATATTGTATTCTTTATTCCGC